AATGTACGTAAACAAAATAATTTCTACAGTCAGGCACGGCCTAAAAACTGAATGTACGTAAACAAAATAATTTCTACAGTCAGGCACGACCTACAAACTGAATGTATATAAACAAAATAATTTCTATAGTCAAGCACGACTTACAAACTGAATGTATGTAAAGAAAAAATTAATATTTCTCTTAAAAACTTTGTTGTTGTTTGTTAACAAAACTGGTAGATTAACAGTCAATCTGAAACAAATAAAATAACATTTATGTTGAAAATGACTATAATATGGTATACTTCTTAATAACTACAAACCTTTAACTTGGTCTGTTTGATAAAATTAAATAAATCAGTTTCTAGGTGGCCTTTTGTAGTTTCAAAGGATCATGCTTGCACAGCAGCCACTTTGTTGGAGTTAGGAGCAAAGAAAAACATCCGAGACAACTGGGGACAGACGGCTTTAATGTTGGTGAGGAAAAATGGAGTCATTTTGTAATTTTTTAAATGAACATTCTAATCTTTTGTGGAATTGGTAGTCAGTATCTCTTTAAATTTAATACTTAAGTTCATGTTTGTTTGTTTTTTTTTTTGGCTTGATCGACAAAAATGATAGAAAGTCAAGTACATTGAATCTGATTAATAGTTCAGCTGTCAGTAACTGAATAAGAAATAGTAAGTCAGTTGTGTATAATGACACTGTTTAAAATTACAACAAGTGATTAAATACTGAGCATCTTTAGTATTAATGGCTGGAGACGGCTTGAATGGGTAATGAAGGAAATACTTTAATATAAGTTTAACATAACAGCAAATGTACAACGTTTCGACAAGGTTTTGTCAGCATCAGGTACATCTTTAGTATTGTTTATAAATTTCATTGTTTTATTTTATCGTTTTTTTTTTTTATTCTACTTCCCTCCTGTATTCCTATTTATCCCCTCCTTTTTTTTTAATATAAATTTTGCTAGAAGGCTTGATTTACGCCAATGTTGTTGTTGTTGTAAATAAATATTTCTTTTGGTATTTTCTTCGGCTTTTGACTTTATATTTCATAAATATCTAGATTTTTAGTGTGTTTTTTTTAATAAATTAATAACGTCTTTAAGGACAAACCTATATTTTTATAAAACTAATATCTTAATTTCTTGCTGTTAGCAATAGTTTTGGCCGTAATCCCAATAATATCTTTGGCCAGTTTAGGAGGTTTAGATTAGTCCGAAATCCATTAACTAAGCTAGCAGTGCGAAACTTAACCTTCCCTTATCACTTTAAGACAGAGGTAAGACTCGAGAAAGCTCACAATAATAACAAGACTGTGTAGAAAAGAGATGTGGTAAATGTGAAAAGTAATTAGCAGAAATTAAGTTAACTATTGACACAATGATTTATTACTCTCGTGATGTACAAAAGCACACGCAGGATTAACAGAAATCGGAGAACCCTGATGAAGGAATGAATATTTCCAAAACCAGATGGGTTAGTGGATTTCTTTCCTGAAGGTGATGTTATGCTCTATCTAATATAGATTAGACTAACATTAGTATGAGCCTAAAACTAATGGGAATACAGTTTCTAAGGAATTAAAGTATAGACGTTAAAGTTTTGAAAAGGTCATAATATTCCCTAAAACGTTTAGACTTCTAATTGATACAAAGAAGATTTTTGAATTTAATTAATAATTTAATGTTTGTTTGCCACATGAACTATCAGCTTTTCAAAATTTTTGTACATAGATAGTTCAGGTTATAATTATAAAATACTGGTCATCTATTGGATCAGTAGTGTATATTGTGAACTATGACCTCTATATTAAAGATGGTGTACTCTTGGTTAATTACATTTCACTATTACATTGAAGACTCTTCCATACCGAATGAATAATACTACTATAAAACAGATAGAGAAAAAGGGAACGGATGCTGGGACGTCTGGCACATTTGTGTTGGAAGACCAATGTGGTGTCTATACCAAAGTTAAAAAAATTTATAACCTTAAGACTGCTTAACAGATGTGTAATCCTGCTTACTTTTATACAGGCAAACATCAAAGGTGTTAGTCCATTCTTTGACTGTGCATTGATGTTTGCACCACTGGTAGCCAACACTTCAGTAATACTAGTATAACCCCGAGCTGCTGCGGTCATCACTAGGGTCATCCCGTTCACTTCTGGCAGTTCAAGATCATACTGTCTGCTTCCATTCAGGGCTCTTTTCACAGTGTTATAATCCCCTGCCTTCACTGCTTCACGCAACTCGTCTAGGTTGGGTTATTATTCAAACACTATTATTAATTGTAACTAATAATGGTCACTGAACTCTACTTAACTTTAAATGAAGGAGATTTATGACTTGAATAAAACTGTGGGGGAAATTAAATGTCATTTCAAATAATAATAATAAAGTTAATTTACATTCAAGTATAGCCATGAGGGTATACGTGTCTCTCCCTAAACAAGTAACAAATTCTCCTTTTAATTAGAACTCCAGTAAAAATGGGTCATTTTTCAATTAACTTCAAATGATTGGGCTATTCTCCATTTAATTAAAACTCCAGTAAAAAAAGGGGGACATTCTCAATTTAACTACAACTCCAGTAAAAAGGGGTCATTTTTCAATTAATTTCAAATGATTGGGCTTTTCTCCATTTAATTAAAACTCCAGTAAAAAAAGGGGACATTCTCTATTTAATTAAAACTCCAGTAAAAAAAGGGGACATTCTCTATTTAATTAAAACTCCAGTAAAAAAAGGGGACATTCTCTATTTAATTAAAACTCCAGTAAAAAAAGGGGACATTCTCTATTTAATTAAAACTCCAGTAAAGTCTTTATTATAAGAATGATGAATATTATTTTCCAATTAAATATAAGTTTTGAAAAATCGTTAATTTTTTTTTACTGAAAGATAGTAAGAAAAAGATATTTTTTTAATAATAAAAATTCTTTACAAATATAGCTGTCACACTTTATTACAATACAAAGCTTAGGAGAATGTGTACATAATCCACTCATTATAAACTTAAAAACAATGAATCATATTCTGTTCATTCTATTTTTCATTACATATGCATCTTGGGAAATAATTTTTCTAATACAATGAAACCTTAAAAAATAATTCATTACAACTAATAAATAAAAAAAAACATGGATTATTTTCCCCATTCGTATGTAATTACATTGGGTAGTAAAATAGCACTTGAATTAAAGTCCTCATAGTAAAAATAATGGAAGTACAGAAGAACTGCTTATATGGTGTGTTAAACCATTTTCTTGTTGTTGTTTTTTCTGCCATAAGAACATAAGTGTGTGAAAATTAAAAAGGTTAATTATACAGTTCTTTAGATGTTGAATTCTCAGAACATTTGGGCTGGAATATAGTAGCCGTGTAGGCCCGTGGGTTCTACCTTTGTCCAAAACTGATTTTAAGCATTTTGTTTAACCCCTTATAGTGCATTTTTAGAGATGTTTAGAAAGAAATGTGCATAATTAATCTTTTTTTTTACACATTTTTTTCTCCCATCAAATTTTTTTTAAAACCTAATCTGTCAATGGCTTTAAGCACTAACTCTAAATGTTCAGTTCTGGTAACACTTTCTGGATAAGTTCATTTTTCATCTAGATGTATTGTGTTTGTCCAGTCTTGATGTAATTTACACCCATATATAAATTACAGGTTTCTATAATCAGTGGAACTTGAGATTTTAATTTCTTAGAAGTTCGAGAGAAAGATATTTTTTACATTCTTCGAAAATACTTTTTGTAACCTATGATTTTATGTCCGTTGAGACTTTTAAATGTGTGCAAGGTCAAAACACGAAAATCCATGGATACGTGGGAAAGTGAGGACTATTTTACATTGAAATAGTACTGAAAAATCAAACATTTTTCTTTGCATATTATATTATTTATTACAGAAAAGTACATACTAACTTTCAGTTGTAACTTACTTTGAGAGATATCCAAAGGAGGACAGATCATCAGACTTTTCTGTTTCATGCAAATAAATTAAATATACAAATTTAAAAGAGAGCCATCACTGGTATATAAAGATAACTTCTGATTTACTTATAACAATCTCAAAATGCTTCTCTTGCTCAGTCATAAGCAAATAAGTAAGCACGAAAATAAGAGTTATGAAGTTACAGATTTCAAAGTTAAAAACATATACAATAACAAAGTTAGTTAGTTTATAACCTTTCATTTTTTATCACTGCACACATCAATTAAATAATTAAATAGTTTATTATTTTATGTTCCTCAAGAACAAGTCAAAGATTTAATTTTTTTTTAACAAGATTAATGTTCTAACTGTTGAAAAAAAAAATTGTCATCTATCAAATACTACCCAAAGTGACAGATCTCACCTGTTATGTTATCTCTACAACTTTGAATTTTAAGGCAGATTAAAAGTTACATACATTTAATGTATGGATAACAAACCTTTCTTGCCCAGTCATCTGCAGAATAATCATCCAAGTGAATCAGAAACTGAGCTTTTTCTTTTACATCAGTGCCGTCTAAATGTTTGAAATATACAAAATAATGGTAAAGAGAATTAACAGTACGTATATACAACACACAGAAATTTCACATCATAACAAATATTAAAAAAGGCCTTTATACATCTGTATATATATATTTTAAAATACTTTCAGTACTACTTTTGAATTATAAAAATATTCACAATAATATATGGGCAAGCGATGACCTACAGTACGATAAGATGGTCAAGATTTCTACGTCACTGGAAAATTTTCCAATAATGTTGAAAGATGGCTCTCGTTGTTAAAAACGAGTTTTGATACTCGTGACAGGCACAGCACATTGTGTAGCTTTGTGCTTAACAATAAACCAACAATTAAAGTGTACGTGTCTCGAGAGGAACTGCTATTTTATACGCGTGTCGGCAGCTGTTTAGGGAAACCTGTTAAATGTTCATTCTCAAGTAGTGTACGATTACCTTATAATAAATTTTATTCATCAAATTCTGAAAACCAGACATTACTTGCTCTCACGTGGTACTACAAATTCATACAAAAACAGTTTAGCAAAACGAAATAAGAACATTCTAGTTCTACCCTCTCCTACGAAACATGAATACCTGTGGGATACGAGTAGTTCTAGAAACACATGCTGGAACTCGTATAACCCAACAGTGCTACGAAACATGAATACCTGTGAGGTACGAGTAGTTCTAGAAACACATGCTGGAACTCGTATATCCCAACAGTACTGAACGAAACATGAATACCTGTGAGGTACGAGTAGTTCTAGAAACACATGCTGGAACTCGTATATCTCAATAGTACTGAAAGAATTAAGATATTGTATTATTTTATGGACAGTTGGAGCAGAACTTTAGCTAGCTAGAAGATATGGGAACAGTAATGAGGCTGCTCTGCCCAAACCAGTGGTTTCCAAACTGTGTCGCACCACCCTAATGTATTATGGCAAGTTCGTAGGGTAGGGGGGGTTGTCAGTGAAAAAAAAAATGGAACTTCTGGGTTAAATATTTCAATGATTGTACAAAAAGTTTTGTATATCATACGGAGATATTCTTGGCCACACAAAGTATCATCTAAGTATCTAAATACTGCTGATAAATTACAGCTGCAAGCACAAATAATAAAAAAGTGACCCTAAAACTACAGCATAATGTATTTCTGGTGTAGGGATTTTGTATTAGTCTTTAAGTTTTCCGAGTAGCTTGAAAAACAAATCTCTACTTAAGTATAAACATTCCAATAAAATTAGCAAGAGAAATTTACCTGATTTTCCGCTCAGGTGAGAACTCTGAACAAGGGTTGCCTTCTGAAGAGCTCGGCTAATGATCTTCTTGTTTTCTGGGTCCTTTAAATGTTATCAGTTTTGAGAAAAAGAGAGAAACTGGATTGAATATGAAACTCGGGTTTTGTGATTCATAATAAGCTAACAGCTCACACTCTTTATAACTAACCAAACTACTTTACTACTCAAGGAGCCGATGTTTCATTTTCTTCAGATATATTGATCATAATTAGTTCTCTCGTGACACGAGTTACGGTCAAGAGTTTTTTTTCCAAAAAATAAGAAACGGCAAATACAAACTAGTATTAATGAAGAAATCAGAGTCTCAAACTTTTGAAAAAATTAAAAAAAAAAAGGACAAAGTAATAATTCCACAGAGAATTATGGTAAAATAAAAATCATTAACCTACGAGGAAAACAACAGAGAAAAAAAATAATAATTATGCATACAAGTTAAATTATTCTGTCGAAAAAAACATTTACTACCCTTGGCACACTAAACAGTACAACACTAAATTAAAATTATACTGTGTCAGTCAGAAGTGAGAAGTCAGCTCAGCTCAAGATTCAAAGTTATTGATCTATTGGAAGTAACGTGAAAAAAAAGAGAACTGACAGAATACCATCTTGTTTTAACAGTTTGATCAAAGAAGGAAATCTTTAAGTCAGTTTCTGGTGGACAGCAGAACCACTGGATGTGATTTGGATCACTTGTAAGCCAGTTTGGAACACAGACTTCACATTGTTCAAGAACTTGGATAAACCATAATCTCAAGACTGATTTCTGCTCTGAAAATGTTGGTATTGGTGGTATAAATAGTACAGAATAAAAAAAGTTATCCTAGATACAACAGTGGGATAATGAAACCTACAGCCATGGTAACAATGGTGGAACGCTGTTAACCTACATGGTAATAATGGTTAAAACTGTGTTAAGCTAACAATGATTATGTTTCTAACCCATTTTTTTGTTTTAAGATATTCTTGATATACACAAAGTTCCGGCTAAGCAAAAATATCCGTTATTTTAATACTTACATCGTGTAAGGAATTTAAGCAATACGAGTTTAGTCTGATTTTTATATTAGATAAAGTGTAAACTTTGTAAAATTTACGGTTAAAATCTTTAACCTTAACTTAGAAAAATAAATAATTTTTTTTTAAATTACATAACAGATGGCACAATGGGCAAAGATAATCATATGTTCTTTGATGGATTATTTAGGCAGAGTAATCACGGTGAATTTTGGTTGAATGGATGGCAACTGTCTGTTGTAGAAACACAAGTAAAGACTGACGACACCATACACACTCTGACCTGAAGATGAAAGAGAGAATTCTGTCAATACATCGTCCTCTGTTCTTGTGTTTCTACAACTGGCAGCCGTCATCCATTCAACCAAATTTCCTCAACAGTCATATAATTATCAGGCCAATCACCAAAAATGGTCATGTCTAAATAAGAATACTTTTGGATTAATCAAACATAAGAAAAAATTTATAAAAGCTTGAAAAACAAAATTAATTCACAACGCTACTAGTACTCATAAAATCAGTGCTTATATAAATATTACTAGCCCATAATGTCACAGCCTTAACTAAAAAAAAATACAATATCCTGTTATTTGGCTAAATTTTATTAAAATCATGTAACTGCTTGCAATAACCTTTTCTTTGGAAAAATGGCCCTAGGAAAATATGGCCTTTATTATGTTCCAAAGAGAGTTGTTTAATTACAATGAATATATAAAGCAATGGGCCATTGCAGGGGCATTAGTAGCATGGATGCAGGGGGACACCTTTGTTTAATAACTAAGAAAAATGTCATTTAAAGAACAAAATGTAGTTTTGACATAGAAAATGTCTGTTGGGTCATCGAGGCTGTACCATACACTTAATTGTTAGAAAAATAAAACTTAGAGCAGAAGATGACTCCTACCTTGTGCCCTCCTAGTCCTATCATTTTCATCACTAAATATGAAAAAAGATGATGCATCAACACTATCAATTCCCTTAACAATCTTAAACACCTCGATCAGATCCCATTGTTTTTATTTTTTTCTAAGAGAAAACAACATGCGAGATCTTAACCTGTCCTCGTACGACAACCTTTCCATCCCAGGTATCATCCTACAGTCCTCCTCTGAACCCAATCCAACATCTCACGTAAGCCAAGGAGTTCATGAATGAGGAGATTATTACAAATTAGGCTTAACCACTGACTTTTAGACTTGCATTTGATAAGTTTACTACATAATTCACCACTGATTACAATATTAAGTTGTTCAGAAAAAAGGCCAAAAAACAGGGTTTCAGGGGCTGATTGTGGCCCATAGTCTCCTTTCAGGGACTAGCATAGTAAACCACATATTAATGGCTTTCAGATGAAAAAAAAAAAAAAGTTTAAAAACTGGCTTAAACATATGAATAATCTTATATTAAATTTGTTGCCCATGGATTAAAATAGAACTTGAAAAATACTTGATGATGAATGAAAAGTAAGCTATTTAACCCGATGATGATGATGATGATGATGATATCATCTTTAAGATACAATTTACTAGTGCATGGAAAAAGTGGGCATGTGTAATTCATGAGAAATAACTAACCTCCAGCTTTAACATGACACTGCTCGCATCTTTAACGGTTACATCAGTGGTGCCATGATTACGGTCCACTCCATTTAAGGGGGTCGGCTTTGTTCCAGCAGATGGCTGAGAGACTGAAACATGTGATAAAATGCTTTTTTGACTGGGAGAATGAAGATTATGACTTGCCTCTCCTTGTATCTTATTTTTCTTATTAGATTCCATACTTTCATTATCACACGTCTTGACATTTTTCTGAAGTGGGCTCCTGGATGGAGCAGAAACAGGAGTTATTGATCCATTATCCTGAACATTATCCAGGTTTTTTTTAACTTTGTTCTCCGTTGAGGTGGTGACAGAAGGAACTGAACAAGAAGCATTCAATGACTCTTTGGTGACTGGCTGAGCATCATTAGCATTCAACTGGTCTTGGACCTGAGTGGAAACTAGTTTACTCTCTCGAGTAAAAGGCAGACTCTGTTCATAACTATTTGTTATCTTACTAACTTCATAATATCCACTAAGCCCTTGTTTCAACGAGATTTTGGTACTACCTTCTTTGGCTTGATAAACTCCCTCTGTGTTCATGGAATTCTTTGTTGTCTGACAACTTTTCTTTGACAATATTATCTTATGAGCAAAATCACCATCCTGTTCCTGAGTGGCAGAACCACTGTTACACTTGTATTCGTCATATCCATCACTCTGTTTGGACAACTTTTCATTGTCTTGTAATTCAAATCTCTTAGACTTAACTCTGTCTTGATCAAAACTACGTTTTTTTGAGGTATCGGTATTCTTTTTCTTTGCCGATCCTTGTGACAAACCAGACTCAATAAAACTTTTTACTGGTTTTGGTCTTGCCTTCACCCTGCTGTAAAGATCGGATTCAAAAACATTGATTTTCCCTTCTTCTAAGTCTTTCCAAAATGAATCTTTCAATCCATGGCCAGATTTCATTTCAGAAGGCTGAGGTTCACTATCATTGGTTTCAATCTGAAAAGAAAACTATAAAAATCAACTAACATTCTAAGGTTTACTACAAAACTATAAAAGTTTATCAAACAAAAGGTCTGAGGATTATAAGTTGCCTTAAGAGGACTATCAATTAAAAACTTACCTTTAATCATTGTAACCTAAATACCAATTTCATAAAGTTTGATGAGCAATAACCCTGTAGCATAGTTTCTTTTACAAAGCCTCTATCAGAAGGCTGTAATGTTTAAATCACACCCTTCCACCCTCCATGCTTTCCATAAACCATCTAGTGTATGAGGACAAAAGTTTTTCCAACAGTCCAATCACAAAAAAGTCTTCATATGGAAGAGCATGGCTTACTCATTTAGTTTTCCAGATGATCGAGACATGCAACAGTTGAATGGATATGTTGTGGAAACAACTTGTCACACTTTTTTCAGATGGAGATCTTTCCTGATTATGTTACACAGCTAGGGTATGACTTGTTGCAGGTCTCTTTTTTAGATATCTTGGTGCCTCAAGTTAATCAATATTTCTTTGTTTTACAATGTCAGTAAGTGCCACGGATAAACCTGCCTTAGAAATTCTAAATTCATCTTTATGAGTTTTTGATGGCCTCATATTACCTATGAAACATCTAACAATGTGAAAATGACTTTACAGCTGCCATGGTTGTCATTAGATGTAGGTGATTAGTGCTAATTCTCAAATGAGATGGCTTAAAAAAAACAACTAATAATGCTTAAAACTAAATGTACTTCCACAGGGTCCCTGAAAGTGTTCTGTTTCAAGAGTAAATAAAGCCAAAATTAAGAGTAACAAATATTTTTATTTCTTGCTTTTGAAGTTCATATGTCATGCTGTGTTGTAGCCTACAGAGTGCATAATACTTCTCGTGATTCATGGTTGCACACGTTTTACTGACATCCCAACAGTACAAATTGCAACGTTACGCATCTCTTATGCAACATCACTTAAATGTCTACTAACTAACTGACAGACAACACATTACTGTATAGTGGTGTAAGTGGTTAAAACAAGTGATCCCTCCAGACAGCCTTCAACCCCTTTTGTCGAAATCATGGGTTTTGATATCACTGGCGAGTAGAAACCAAACAGTTCACTACATAGCTGTGTTCAGCAATAAACATAATGGCAACATTTCAATTACTTGGATAGCAGGAATAATAAAAAAATAATAGGAAACCCTAATTTCAATTATTTGGTTATTTTTGCGAGTTGTGGCACTAATTGATTAAGCCAAACAAACTAGAGTTAATCAAAAATAATAATGAAAAATCAGAAAGACAATATTTCAATTACTAGATAGTTGGAATAATGAAAAAAAACAGTAATATTAAGATACACTAATTTAAATTAACCGATTACTTTTGCAACATTAATCAGTTTAATAATAACTGCCATTAATTGATTATTTTACGAAATACTAATCTATGCTCATAGGTAATTAATTCGGTTAGTTGACAAGCTACAGTTGTTATGTGACTCGGTGATTTGCATATACAAATTCGCTTTAATATAATGTACTCAATTCTCTGTACAATTAACCTTATGCACTCAGGCGGGTTCAAAGTGCATGTTATGACCTTTTATGACCTCAAACTTTAATGAAACAACTTTATTATCAATGTCAGTAAACTTAACATCAAAATGCAGTTTATAATTCAAATTTTTATATCCTCAAAGTTCTAATTTCTTATTTTCAAAACCTGAACTGTATTGATATTTTAGTAACTTGCTGAAGCTCAGTTGTTAATTTTTAACTTTAATTTACAAAGCTTTGCTACAGTTGCTTTAAGGTTTCTCACCCTGCAATTCTGAACTATCAGTAAATGTACTATAATTTTACATCACTAAGCATTTTTGTAAATAATTTATAACTTAATGCATATGCGAGCCAATCACAAAAAGACTAACATTTTTTCCTTATTATCAGGTTACTTACGTTGAAAAGGTGTGAATGGAATGGAACGTCTTACAAATTAAGCTGATAACAGGAAATTACTTATTTTTATAGTTGTTGGGCCAAAACAACCACTGCAGTAAAATTTTTCTGGGGTAATCCGATGACTACAGTTTGGCAGTTGCCCAACATTAACTGGAAATTTTTTACTCAAACATTTCTTTGATGAAGTAAAAAACAGCATGCATATAATACCAGTATATTTTTTCTACCCCTTTCTTGAGTTTATTACATTTTGTACAACTTCAGCCATTTTTTTTGCTCCGTATTTTTAGACTTAATACTCCTAACACTTGTATCACATATCTATACGGTTAGCTAATTCATACAATTATACATATAGCTATATAAAAAGTTAGTCTTAAAACACAGACCTTATCATAATTTTCTTTCTTCTCTACTTTTCTTTTGGCCGAAGTGACTTTAGCTTTCCGTTTCGAAGCTTTCTTCTGAATTTTCTCAGCATAGTCTTCGATCATGTCTTCACACGTGAGCAGATTCTCTCTAGGTTCCCAAGTGTCATGATGGGCTGAATATCCTTTCCAACGTACCCTATACAGCCATTTTCCCTATAAACAAAAAAGTAGCTCGTAAACAGGATTCTGCTTCATTGTGCCAATTTTCGTGTATGATTCTGTAGGAATTATTTTGCACAGTTACGGGAACCTTATTCTTGTCTCATCTTATACAGTGTTATTTCTTTACAGTTTTAAAGTTGTTCTTAGAAAATATAAGGAATACCATTAGATCTTTAACATCTGGAAATATTCATGTTCTATAATTACGAGTTTATTACATTTATTACACATCAAATGTTTGAATGAATTGAATAGTTTCTAATAACTTAAGCAGAAGTTGGTTGCTTTGAATTTCATGCAAAGCTACACGAGGGCTATCTGCATTAGCCATCCCTGAAGAAGAATAGTCAGCTATTCGATAGCGCTTGAGTTTGGGGTCTGTTTTTGAAAATATTCATAATTTAGCAGTGTAAGACTAGAGAGAAGGCAGCTAGTCATCACCGCCAACTCTTGGGCTACTCTTTTACCAACGAATAGTGGGATTGACTGTCACATTATAACACCCCTACAGCTGAAAGGATGATCATGTTTGTTAAGTAGAAGTAACTCGGAGCCAAGTGTTACAGCTCAACCTAGTAAAGAATCTTGATGTAAAGTTTCTGTAATTAAGAAAGGAATTAAAGAAAAATTTATTTGCGTGTTCAAAATTATTAGGCGTTTGGATACCCTTCCTGTGGGAAGTGTGTCCAAGTATTGAAACTAAAAGATTTAAATATTAAAAGTTAAATATTAGAGGTAATAAATTTAGATTTTGGACGTTTAAATGATGAAATGCTCTTTAATGTAATATTTTTTTGAATTTGTAAAACACTTTGATGACGTGGTACAAGCGTGTTGATAGTTTGAATCGTGTTAGATAACTGTACGTGTGTAAAAAAAATAATTAATTAATTAGTGTACTTGTCCCAGGCTGACAGGTAAGAGAAATATACTAACTCAAATTTAAAATATATTAAACCAACTTTTTTTTTTTAAATTTAATGATTAAATTACTACACATTACAAATATGTACGTACTTATATTAATTGCAGTTACTCCTTCCATAGTATTATCAAAGTAAAAATAATGTAATTTAATTGAAGATGTAAAAATACATGGGTGGGTTAATGAGCCTATGTATGTGGTAAAATCAAAATAACCACAGGAAGGCCCAACATTCAGAACAACTCAACCTTTTCTACCACATATAGGAAGGAGGAGGTGGGATTCAAATGGGCAGTAACTTGAATAAGTATCTTTGTGCCTAAACATCATTGTTTCATCTAGTATAAATAAAAGATTTTCATTAAAATACTTTATCTAATTCAAACCAGAAATAATTACACTGGTTAGTAAGTGTTATAAATACGAAAACAAATAACTGGACATTTTATTTTACAAGAGGGCAACTGAATTGCATGCGTTTGTGTATCAGGCTTAGGATATATTAGCCATCGTTATTGAACAAGCTACCAATCTTAGAAAAAATTTTCATTGACAGTAGACATTTGATGATTTGAAAGAAAATAATAACAGTGACCATTTTTGTAATTTTAAATAACAAAGAGTCTGGAGCTGTTGCATATGTGTTTGCTTGTGAAATAAATGCATATATGTAATACTGAACTCTATAGAAATATGGTAGTCCAAACCATCAGGCTAGTGGATTTCTATACCATTGGATGTAATAGACTTTATTGAGTGAATAGTCACTGGATGTAATGGACTTTATTGAGTGAATAGTCACTGGATGTAATGGACTTTATTGAGTGAATAGTCACTGGATGTAGTGGACTTTATTGAGTGAATAGTCACTGGATGTAGTGGACTTTATTGTGTGAATAGTCACTGGATGTAGTGGACTTTATTGTGTGAATAGTCACTGGATGTAATGGACTTTATTGTGTGAATAGTCACTGGATGTAATGGACTTTATTGTGTGAATAATCACTGATCTTAGTGGAGCAAATAACCTTCTGTCACATAATGTTCTTTTTTTTTTTAAATTAATGTGCTACTCCTGAGGTTGACGTGATGTCACAGTAATGTGATTTTGCCTGGTAACCCAATCGCCATCTTGACAATGGGGCAAACAATAGCAAAGCAAGTACAATTATGACCCAAGTGCTTCAAATGAAGCAGGAAGTCTTCCTGTGGCTAACTGAATGACTAATGTCACTTAACTCCACGAAAACTGATAATGCAGCAGTGATATTTCACTTAAACATAACATATACATAGATAATATGAACTGTCAAACTTTAACTTCATTTTTCTCAAAAGCAGCATTTTCATGTTCTTAACAAGATAACTCTCTGCAAGAATAAGACTTCTGCTTGAAGTCTGGCACATGGCATCTTTGTGCTATTTCTCACAAGGTAGACAAAGGAAAACTTCATCAAATGTTCCATGTTTATAATGTAATAATGTGATGTCTTGAAATATGAGGGTTGTAACCATGTTGATAGTCTATAATGGAGAACTAATCCTTAAACTATCCCCAAATTTCAACAATAACTAAAAAGTTATGATGAGAAAACCATTTTTATAAGGATAAGTCTCTTCATTTCAATCATCTTAAGTCGAGGCAGGGAGTAAATGTTTATACATGTATCTTGTGCTGTTGTTGTTAATATGATATGAATTTCTAAATAAACTTTGTGAATTCTGAAGTTTATCAGACCATGTGAAAAGTTGTATAAACATTCAAATTATAATATGAATATAACTCCTTGTCTTTTTCTATTCCTGTTTGGTGATGAGTACAAATTCTTTGTCCCAAAGTATGTAGAAAAAAGTGGAAATATGAGAGTATATAAGAGTGGGTAAGTGCCAGAGAACAGACATGAGGTGTACATGAATGTTGGCGTGATGAAAAATGAGAAAACACAGAGAGAAAGAACAAATCATGAAACAAGACAAAAGAAACAAGAAGAAAGATTTTTATATTTATTGATAAATCAATGACAATATTGATAGGACAAGTATGGCATAGAGTTCAAAATAATAATAACTTGTTTCAACAACTTCAGGTAGTGCTACATTGTTGAAGAGTCAACACTTCGAGATGAAACTGGTGACCACGTACAAGATACATGTATACAGGCAGAATGCACCAGAATAAATAAAAATACTATGACATATTATGTAGCATATCAGCTAAAAAGAAAACTTGTTCTCAAAAGAACAGGAAAGATTGGTTGATGTTACTTCCACCCCAGTTGCAACATTAAGCCAATATCCGACTCAAGAATTGAACAAACTGGCACAGACATCACTCATTATATATGATACCTTCTTAAAGATTGCAACACAGACTAACAATCTTGTATATCTATGCTTGCCAAATTTTTTATCACCAAGTTCATTTGAAATTTGCTTCATGCTCTGAATCGGTAAAGGACCTTGCAGGATTGTATAAAGCTTTTTAAACAATCCTATTATACGTTCAACATGAATTCAAACAGCAGATATTAAACATTTTATTGGTGCAACTGAATACACAACAACTCTTCACCACACTTACAGGTTTTTTAAAACAAAAGATCATCACAAACACAAATAGTTGTTATGAATACAACTCCAGACAACAGGCAAGTGTTGCACTATTTGTTTGCCCCTTTGTTTCAGTTGCTATGCAGACATTGCATTGAGGGAGGGCAAAGTTCCTGGATGTCCAACCTCAAGAGTGTGTAGGTTATAGTTATAAAAACATGTTTGAACAAAATTATTTTATTGCAAGCAAATAAAAAATAAAAACTGGCATAGAATTAAATAAGTACATTATTATTTTTTACGAAGTAAAGATAACAATAAAATATAATTTTATTTTCAAAGTTATTAATTCTTACCATCACTATCAATATCATTCACTCATCTGATTCAAAGTTTTAATCAAAAACCTTCTATCCCTATCGTCGATGGTACTTTAATTCTAAATCTTAATCACGACTGTCACACGTTCATACATTAGTTGAGCACCACTATCAGCTAGCCTTAAGTTAATGTGTAATACTATGTACATTATAAATACTACAGTACTATTACTACTAGTAGTAGAAGTTAGATTTAGAAGTACTGTCGTTCTACACTAGACTAGCGACAATTTCGGTTCCTGTACAGTGAAAGTTAACTTTTAACTTAAAACTAAAGTGAAAATGGTTATTTTGAATGAAAGTTCCCTACGGTTAAGACAACTTAATATGTAACACTTAAACTTCACTTACATTTACTTTCTTTCTACCAACGATAGCTTCAACTTCAAATACATTTTCATCCTCAAAAATCTGTTGTAAACCAATATGTTCCATTAATCCGACTGAATTATTTTACACTCACAAAAATATTTATCCTTCCATCAATTAGCTGAAGATATACATAGCCCTCTAAGTCTGTTTACCAACACATGAGGCTAAAGGGGACCATTTTCTAATTTCAGAATTATAATTTTATGCAAGTGCATTATTTTCAATGTTTTTTTTTCTCTCTTTTTTTCCATTTTATTCTAAAATAAATGTCTTAAGTATTTTTCTCCTGCTCCAATCAAAAATTACTTGTCCAACTGGCGTTAGCGAGGTAGCTGCTATTAGTCATAGCTCATATAAAATTTTAAAAGTTACATTTCACCAACTTAATATAATTCACAGTTGTTGTTCATGCAATTTGATAATATAAATAACGTCTCAACCATTACTATATTTGTGGTATCCCAAGCTGCCTGTTGAGCCCTGGTATTATGCAAAAGGACTTGTCTGCACTGGAAATAGCAGATGCGAAATGATTGACATCTTATTATATTGTTCGTTACTTTCACTAATAAGTACTTAAGTGAACTGCTACAGCTATGCATAATAATTCTTTAAAATTCGAGCTGATTCGATAAGTTTGTTAAGATATTAGTTGTTAGTTTCCTTGGGTACTAGAAACACTAAATTGCTTAATAAACACAACTGTGTTGCATCAAACTTGAAACTATTTTAGAGAGATCTAATTACGGAAACAACAATAATCCATACTGAAATAATAATTGTGCCTTAGAATTTTATAAATTGACTTATATGCTCGCTTCTTGTAAACATTTGTTATTTACGAGTCAAATGACTGGCTTAAAATATTATTTCCATGAAAATATTTTACACAATTGTTTGTTTTTGTTTAGTGCTAATTCTTAACATGCACCTTATACGACATTTGAGCTACACAGCCAGGTCAGATACCCTTAAGATTCAGACATAGTCACCTTTACTTTGAAACAGTTGACCAGAGGGAAGATAATTAATCACACAATCCGCCACTTATGCTGTTTCTATTAACTTTCCCTTTGGAAAGGTTTACAGATTTACAACGCTAAAGTCCAGGGTACGATTTCCCGCGGTAGTCAGAGCGCATATAGCACATTGTGTGGCTTTGCGCTAAAACGAATTATTTTAACTAAGTAGCAGGACTGACTATCACAGTTATAACGCATCCACATCTGAGCGTTTTGAAGCGGTCAGCAACATATCTGTGATCTAATCATGGACTTTCGATAACGCAGCCCAATAATGTAATAGCCAGTGACGTATATTTCCACTTATGGCCGCAATTACGTCATTAATAATAACCCTTCCTGAAATAGAGCCTTATAGTGCCATCTGGAGTTTCGAACGTGAAGCTCGTCACATGTGAGGGGTCTGCTTGTGTGTTTGTTTTATTTTTGTGTGAATTATTTCAAAATATATTTAATAGTTCTAATTTACTTTGTTTAGTGACATATTTATTTCAGACTGAGTAATTACAAAATAAGTAAAATTGAAATCTATAATGATAAAATCACGATGTAAATTTATTACTCTTGGTAGGAATGGAGTTCTCAAATTGTTGAAAAGATGTATGACTTTGTCTTTGAGCAGATCTGGTGGAACTACCAATGGCCGATGTGTTGCCAACTCCGCTGAACCAAAAATTAAATGTTCGCTAGGTGAGAGCGCTGAAAATAAAAAAAACAATGATCAGGTAACAAGGATTATTCTAATTATTTTTTTTAGTTTTATGAAATTTATATAGTTATTTGTGAAAATAATGCATTAGTCAGTAACACTGTAGTCTGTTGACCGGCCTCACAGTTTTAACTGTTGTTACTCCGAGAATGCGCATAACTTGCAGGAACGATGGGAATACTTCCGAATAGTTATGGTACCGAAAGAGTTTATGAATAATAATAATAACGACTCTCACAGTGCCAGTTTTAATTTTTAGACAAACAATTAAAAAGAAAAAGACACGTTTTAATAGTTATCTGAAGAGGAATACTAGGACTGGGATCCATTGTAGTTTCCTTTTCAAAACTTATAAATGTTTTGTCTCGCTTTTTTTTTAAAAGATAGATCACTCAGTGACGTCTTTAAATTAATATGCATTAGAAGATATTAACAAGTCTTAATTTTTATCTTTTCTAGAAGTATTCATTTTTAGGGGTAAATATATATATATATATATTGATTCTCATTCTCCCTTCCAATCTAAAATCATTCTGACAATTAAATGTGGTAACCTATCAAATGGTTACCATTTGTTATTTGGTAGTTTTGAAGGTTTTCTGCAAAAGTGAATGACACACCTCATGGCAGGTTATATGTATAATCATAATGTAATATCTTAATGTTTATTACACATGTAATAAAAATCTGGCAGAGCTATAAATGGTTATTTTGATTACATCTCTGTTGAACCTAAGTTTTCATGGTTTGAGAGTTTTGGAAAAAGAAAAAAAGATTAGATGACAAATAACAAAATTTAGCTAAATTTTGTGGTAACAGTGGTCTTAAAATATCGAAGATGATGTACTTATCTACCTTATGGTTGAAATTTACTGTTTGTTTGCAGACTATACGAGATTGATTGGCATGTCCTCTCATGGTATTGGCAGAGTACGTGTATGATAGTAATGTTAAATGTCTTAAAGTTTATTATTTAAGTATTAATAAGTAGTAAACTGAAATATCACATTCAATTAAATCAATGTGGATAATAAGGGGCAATCCTTTTAAGGCTGTCTTTTCACACCCACCTTTAAGACAGGAAAAATTTAAACCTGCCCTTTATTCTTCAGGAATTTCTTGATTTAATTTTTAAATTCCTTTAATGCATTGGCCTCCAATACTGCTGATGTCAACCTATTCCATAAGCTAATCACACCTTCAGAAAATCAAAACTTTCTTAACTCGTCTTTTCTAAACCTTAAATTTTTGTCCTCTTATCCTGTTGTCTCTGAATACAGCATCAAGAAATCAAAGGAATTTATCCTATTGATCCCCAGATATTTTTTTAAACTTCAACAAGACCGTCCCTAACTTTTTGTTTTCTCAAGAGAAAATAAGTTAAAGATAACCCTTTCATCTCCAAAATCATCCAGCCCTCTTTTAAGTTATTTCCAGTAAATAATTATTCTTCGTTAGATAAAGAAACCCAAACTACACAGTATTCCAAATGAGATCTAACTATATAGAGAATTGCCTCTTTTTGGCTTCTAGTCTATTTACATACACCCAAAAATTCCATTAGCTTTACTACTAGCAACATAGTTCTGGCTCAATAGCTTGAGTGACTTATCCACCACTATGTCAATGTCTTTTTGTTCAGTCATGCTGTTGAATGTGTTCCTATCTAATGAGTGATTCAAACTAGAATAACACAAGTGTATTACCAATACTTGGTCAACCTACTAATTGATCCAATTCAGTCTGTAATATCTCAACATTCTCAAGTACAGCTAGAAATATTATCAATATTAATTAAACTAAGAAAAATCGAAGGCCCAAGCACTGACTCCACCAGTAACACAGATCCAGTTTGACTGAATTCCTTTAATAACAACTAGCTGAGGGTACCCATTAAGAAAGTAAAACTTGTATAAAGGGCAGTGTTAGATAATGTGTCCCTTCCTTCTTTCTTTTATTAAATCCATAATAACTTTATTAGATGCTAATTGCATACCTTGCTTTGTGGAAGGTAATAATTGAATAAGTACTTGCATTTTTTAAATTCAAAGCCAAAAGTCTATCAGTAGAAATGTGTCCTATTTCAGGGTGTTTTTATCTCCCTTCTTGGACAAAAAATCCTAAAACAAAATAGTCTATATATACAGTGTTGGACAGTTTTCAGTTACCATACCAAAAGTTAGAGTAATCGAGTCAGTCAGCTCTCAGTAATGGATGGTAACACACATACATATACACATAACGGATCATCTTTATAGTCTGATTAAACTTTTTGCTTTCTCATGTCTAACATACTATAATTCAACTGACTAGTGTTTCTCCAAACTGTATGAATGTGAGATTCTTAGCTAATTTTTTTGAATGAAACCTTATTAAAAACTTTGTGAAGACCTAAATACACCAATTCCTCATCCTTTTTATAGTCCAGATATAGTCCAGTAAAATCCATAAAAAAAAATAGTTGATAGATTACTGAAGAAAGATTTTTCCTAACAACAAGGAACCTGTTGGTCCATCTAGGCTATCCCATCCACAAAATTAAACTACTTAAAACCAGGCTTTATCACTTAAACATTTATCAAGCCTTCCCTTAAATTCCTTTAAACTACCTCATTAGAAAAATAAAACTGTCTTAGCTGAAGATGACTCCATTCCTGCCAAAATTTATATTTGTGTCCTCTACTCCTACCGGTCTTAATTGTTAAATATGAAAAAAGATGACACTATCAATTCCCTTTATAATCTTAAACACCTCAAGCATCTCTTTTAACTCTTTTTTTTTTTATTTTTTTATTAGAAAACAATTTTAGAGGTCATAATCTGTCCATGTCTGGCAACTTTTCCATCCCTCGTATCATCTTAATACTCTCCAACAATTCAATGTCCTTCCTAAGGTCAGGAGCTCAAGACTGAACACTATGCTCCAAATGAAGCCTAACTAGTGACCTGTACAATGAAATAACCTCCTTAGTTAAAATCATAAATAATATTCAATGTTAAACTGGTACACAATTAAAAACATTTTATTTAGGCCTATCTATGACCTTCAGAAAGTTAACGACTGTACATGTTTCGACGTTACAACGTCATCCTCAGGAGTGAATTACAAGACAATTGCCAAAGTATTTATAGCTTGTTAGTAGGTTATTGACCTGTATGTTATTTTTCATACATTCACGCTAAACGATTCAAACTTGCCTATTTTGAACATTTAAAAATATCTCCTCATTTGATCAGTATCTTCCAGTAATTCAGTTGAAAAATTCACAAAAGACAATTCTTGTCTCATTCCTTCATTTTTTTTTAATTTGGAACCAAAATCTCTGTTTCTTATCTAGATATGCAGCATCTAGTTCAGCAATGATCACTCACACCCAGTTGTTTCCTAATACCCGACATCTCGGTCATTTCTGTATTAGAAGTTAATATAAATCTAAAATAGCATTGTTCCTTATAATTGATGAAGAAAACCATCCCGAACTGTTTCTTAAAACTTGTCTCTCTCATGGTTTGATTCAACATTTTGACTCATATTTCTATAAAATGTTTTGTAAAGATGAATTTTTTCCATTCCAGAAATAAGACTAACTGGCCAATGACTCTTATAACTCCTTTCTAAAAAATTTGAATTTAATTAGCAAATCTAATTATCAGGCACCTGCCTATTTCTTATTGACCTACCATATCTGATCTTGATGTGATGTTGGGTTATTAGCTAGTTGTTTCTAATAAGCCATTATGAATTTCCTAATTCCTTTTTTTAACAAATCCCTATATTTCGTACAGTTCTGTAAGTCTTCCAACGTATCTGTCAATTTGTATTTTTTAAATTTAAGTCAGTTATCATGGGTTTGATCTTCCTTGTTGTATTTTACTTTTTTTTTAGTAACATTTCCATCTTGAATTAATAAAAAAAAAAATTTATTTCCAAATCTTTCCCAATTCACTGATGATAAATCTTGCCTCAAGGTTTTAAATTATCTTTCTGAAAATTAGGAATTAAAACTTCATTTCTTTTTTTAAATGTAATTATTTAATGATCATTATTCCACAAATGTTCCCAAACTTTAACTTTTGTATCCATATTAGTTGTTATCAAAAAAATTATCTCTGGAAATCCATCCTGAATTTATCCTCTCACTATTTCACTCCATATAATTCCAATCAATGTGTTAAAATTTGTCTTCCATGATTAATGCATCAGTAATAACCTTGATCTCATTATACAATTTCTCATTGGCCTAATCTGTCTGATCAGGCAGGCTCTAACAATAGTCAGTTAAAAAGTTTCTGTCTTTGAAACCCCTGATTGTAATTCTTTTACCACCATTTTTGATGTCTTCAATGAAACTGCATATAAAAAGACACCCCACTTTTAAAATGTTGAATAACCTCTAACTCTGAATAGTTTCTATTATCAATGTTCTTTAGATGTGAGTAAGTTTCAGTGATGTTATAGTGTTTAATTTGAACTAGGATCTTGAACTGATCCATTTTGTTTATGATACTTCTAGCAACTAAGCTCATTCTTGAATGCATTGAGTGTATCTTTAAACCTGAAAGACTCATCTTGAAAACTGCTTTTTTTATCTTGTGTTGCCCTGAATTTCCTCATTTCATAGTTATTCTATAATGTAATCCCATCTTCACCACTATTCAAGTTTAATTAAACTATCTTCAAAGCTTTCACAAACCCATTTAAGTGAAGCCTATCTCTAGCATATAATTAATGTTTATCCTGAAAACAATCCCGTGGTTCCAAACAGCCCACCTCTTGCTCTTAGCATATCTTAGTCTTTGAATTAAGCCTTCATTCCTGCTTAATAATTCCTTTCTGCATCTAGTCCAAGGGAGCATTTCCAAATGGACCGAATGTCTATTTTTATCCCTAAAATTATAAATTATTTCCTTTAAATATTTTACATATTGTACTTGCATGAGAGAGGTTTACTAGTTTTACCACAAAGTTTGCAAGTTATTGAGACCAAATTCAGGGGATTGGGTTGACTACAGAGAGGTTTCATGGTTTTCAGTATTCAAGTTACAACCAAAGACAATGTACCCCAATAAAGTCTTTGATCTGTTGATTTAAAAAAACACAACACTTTACTGCCAAAAGAATTCACTTCTCAGTAGTGTTTGGTCATAAAAATGTGAAGTTTAGGGGGGTTGGCTAGATTGTGTTTTTCTTGTATAAAATATTTGAAGTGTTGACATAAGTCAAGTACCATCTTTAGCCACCTTACAGTGGGAAGTAAGCTTCACTGAGCTTTCTTTGGCCATCCCTACTGACGTAACTCACAAAAAATGAAGAAAAACTGTTTAATAGAGCCAAGGAACCAGATCTCATATTGCACAACATGTGCGACCACTTCCGTGTTCTTGTGGGAGATTGGGTGGTGGTTTGGGTTTTACTCCCTGGTGCAAATTCAGTCATGCTGGTGGATAATTCAGGTTTGAAATATTGCAATAAACTGAAATCTCAATTCAGAATTTAAAAAAAAAACAATTCATCAGATATATCTCCCTGACTCGCAAACGAGCATTAATATCAAATTGTGACAGATGGCATTCCAGTTTTGCAAGGTCAAGGTTGTACCTCTCACAATGAAACTCAAATACAGTCACATCAAAATATAATATTTTGTATACATATTCAATAAAAAGTATAGCAGTTATAAGTATAAGGATACCGAATGTCATTAGGCTTAAGAAAATATGAGCAAATGACAAGTTGTTCAGCGATTTGAGGACATCCTTCTTCTTAAAACAACATCAAGAAATCTGAAATTTAACTTTCACATCCTTACACAAAATCCTGACAAAATTTTAAAATAATTCGAACTAACGATGCACATTATCAAGCACACTGTTCCACAAGTTTGTAATTAATTAAGCAATAACAACAGGTGAGGTTTAAAACTGGATCCAACTCAATTAATTCTTTCACTTCTCATATGTATTACATCATTACTAACCTAATTGGAAGAGAGATATAATCGTGAGATGGGTAGCTTGTTCAACTCTGTAATAATTTAAAACTTTTATTATACTGTCCCTAGGCCTTTTTTGCAAAAGTGAAAAAAAGGTTGAATTACTGTTAATGGATGTTTGTGTTTTATTTTTTTGAAAGAAATATAATAAATAACAAGGCTTAGTTTTGTTGATATAATAATTTCTAATATAGTCCTGTTTATGAAATTCTTCCTCTGATTGGCGGAAGGAACAGTTATTGTACGCTAGTAATGACATTTGGAAAACTCGGATAATACTAGGCAACTTGACAATTGTGGCAACCGCTAGATTAAATTTATGACAAAATGGCGCAAGATAAAAATGACAAGTTTCATTGGTTTTTCATGTATTAAAATTTCAGGCATATTGTTGAAGCTGGTGTAAATTTGAAGTCCCATACTTAGTTAAAGTTTAAAGTTAAGAGTATGAATCGTTTAAATATTAAAAGTATCACCAAAAGACTATAATCAGGAAAGTGTTGTTATGTTGGTTCAGAAGTAAAACTATATGAATCTGTTCAACATGTTTAACATGGTGCAGTTCTACCACTTTGAGTCATGGCTGTTTCTAAAAACTCCTATGCTTTTGACTCAATTAGGAAATACCACTAATTGTCCAGCTCTTACTACTATTTGTTGGTGATCAATGACATTAAACTAATTGTTAGTGTCACCCAAAGTGTACATTATCAAAGTCAAATTCGATGACGAGGAACCCACTTTGAGACTAATAATGGTTGGAGACGGCTTGAATTGGTAATGAAGAAAAAACTAATATAAGTTTAACATAACAGCAAATGTACAACATTTTGACAAGGTTTTGTCATCATCAGGTGGGTACCTGATGATGTCAAAACATTGTACATTTGCTGTTATGTTAAACTTATATTAAAGTTTTTCTTCCCATTCAAGCCATCTCCAACCATTATTAGCATAAGATATATATTACATAAGCTTCACAAAATGTTATTACATATTGAAAGCTACATATTTATGCTTTGTCCATGGGTGAATGTGTATCTAAAGCACATCAAGCCAGTCATGAAGATTTTATGTATATAATCTCTTTATAGCTTCTTATGACCGATGTTCTTCATGTCAAACGTATAACATTCCTCTTTGTTAAATATCACATTGAAACTTGTTAGTCGGAAAACTGGTAAAAAAGTTGACAATACATATTTTTACTGTTTGCTTTATCAATCGGAGAGTTTCGTGGTGTCTTGTATGATTCAGTAACTCTCTGTTCACTGTGAATCTCTCTCTTCTAGCCCCCACGAAGGATAATCTTCTCCGGAATACAGCCAACAGGACCACTTCATCTGGGGAACTACTTTGGTGCCATTAAGAGATGGGAAGCTTTACAAAACTTAAATATTCCATGCATTTACAGCATTGTTGATCTTCACTCTATTACACTTCCCCAGAACCCACAGAGACTAAGGTGAGGTACATTTGAGAGATTGAAATGAGACTAGGGTGATGTACATTTGAGAGGTCGAAATGAGACTAGGGTGGGGTACATTTTACAGGTTAAGTGAGACTTGGGTGAGGTACATTTGAGAGGTTAAAGTGAGACTTGGGTGAGGTACATCTGAGAGGTTAAAGTGAGACTTGGGTTAAGTACATTTGAGAGGTTAAAGTGAGACTTGGGTTAAGTACATTTGAGAGGTTAAAGTGAGACTTGGGTTAAGTACATTCGAGAGGTGAAAGTGAGACTAAGGTGAGGTACATTTGAGAGGTTGAAGTAACATTTTCTTGTTTATTTTTTATCAACTGTAAAGTTTCTTACTACTCTGTAGATTTGATACACGTATCATATTTGTTTTACACGTAAATGGTGTTGTAATTCTATTTCTTTTTCAGGACCAACATACAAGTAATAACAGCATGTCTACTGGCAGCTGGAATAGATCCAGATAAAAGTATCTTATTCCTGCAATCTCAGGTAAACACTCGTTTTTCAGTTGTATTTATGATATGTTGCTGTTTAACTTACATTATCATTAACTCGTGATTAAAACAATTTCTCTCTTTTTATAAACCTTTCTTCCTTCCAAAATTGTTTCATATTGTGAAATCCAAGTGTATTATAGATTGTCAGAGGTGAAATGCTTAAAAAACAAGTAGAGGTGGGTGAAGAGGATCTGTTTTTGAAAAAGAGAAAAATTTACACGTAAACATAAAAAAGACAAAGTAGCTTAAGTAAATCCCAGTACTTCTTCTTCTTAGTTCCTGTCGTTCCTAGTGGAACATAGGCCTACAACAACACTTCGTCGACGGAAGTGTTGTTGCAGTTTCTGTAGCAGATTGTTATCGGGGTGGAGTTGCTAGCCCCACGCCCAAGTGGGCATGTTTGGTGCGACAAGGACGCGAACCCGCGACCCTCGGATTGCGAGTCGAGTGACTTATCCACCGGGCCCAATCCCAGTACTAGTACTATCTTATAAAATTTGGGAATGTTTAGTTATATGTTGACTTATGTACCGGCAAGACAGTTAAGTGACAAAAATTGACATTTTCATCTTTATTAAATGCTACTTAACATTAAATTGAGATTATCTTTTTAATGCTCTCTTATTTATGAGTCAGTGGATGCGAATGGAATCTTCAAGTCATTGCATTATGCTCATGATATGACATCATTATTCAGTGGATATTTGCAGTCGAATGTGATGTCATTTGATAGTTCTGATATCTGGTTAATGATATGTTCACATTAATTAGAAAATGTACTATTTGCCGTATTTTCGTTCTCCTAGACTATTAAAGAGGGTTGGGCACGCCATATTAAAAACTGGCACATATTATTATGAAATGTGTGGGAGAGGATTAACTATTTTACTCTAGAATTACCCTATCAATTTTTTATTTGTGTTTCCCAGATTTTGTTGATCACAGAGCTCCTAATAACATAAAGAGTCGCATCAAAAAATGTAAAGAAAAATATAGTAATTAATTCTACTTATTACTGCCAGAATTTCCTTTGTATTTTATGTAAGACATGATTTCACTCAAATGTTTGTCAATTCTTACAATGAAGTAATGAGCGAAGCATAAAATTGCTCAAAGGGATACAGTTTGTGACCCCACCGGTAGATATACTAGTGGGTAACTCACTTAATAGTGGTGGCCATGTATTCTTCATTCTCTCAATAATTATGACTCAATTTTTTAAATCACATTCTGGATAGCATTTTCAATATTTAAACTTCTAATGGAATAGGTTCCTCAGCACACAGAACTGGCGTGGATACTTGGTTGTTCTCTAACGATGGCACGTCTAGGTCAACTTCCGCAGTTCAAGGTACGACTGTTTTACGCTATTTCTCCTATGAGTTGCATTAATGACGATCACATTCTTACTTGTTTAGATTTTTTGTGAAAAGAAATCCAATTTCTGCAAATTTGAAAATTAGTTCACTAAATGATACTTAAAGATAGGTGTTTTTTTTATTAATTTCAAGTATTTTGGCATCCTTCGTAAAAGTTAAGATTGCAGATGAAAATTTTCATTCATTTGATATCTTCAAGACAGTTGTGTAATCCTTGAAGTATTATTTATTGCTGTAAAAATATTCTAGAAATATGAATCATCAGATTTTGACGTTGGTTGTTTAAAAAAAGGCACATTTGTATAGCAGGTTAATCAAATGTACCCTTACTGATATAATTAACACTTCTGTTACGGAAATGGTAAATAGATATGGCAAATATGATTTATGTCTATAAATAGTTTAAGTAATATATATGAATATGTGGAAAAAAATAAGCTCATATTAGTAAAAAAAGTGAACTTTTTCAAAAAACTTCTTGTAGATACATAAAGTTCTCATGTTAGTAATTAAAGGGTTAAGAATTGTCACAATGGCAAATTAAGTAGCGAAACAGGCAACAAAATTAAGTAGCGAAACAGGCAACAAAATTAAGTAGCAAAACAGGCAACAAAATTAAGTAGCGAAACAGGCAACAAATTAAGTAGTGAAACAGGCAACAATTATTGTACGATTTCCTTCATTATTGAGTTTTCTGCTTATATCATGAGCATTCAATGGAAATTAAGAGTGTAAAGGACATATATCCTGCTTTGTGTCAAAAATGAAATTTTACGTTTGTGGAATATTTTGTGTTTTATTAAGTTACAGCTTTTACAAAAATTATCTGATGTACCCATAATGTTGAAACAAATGTACATATATATATATATATATATTTCAGGAAAAATCATCATCTTTAAAAGAAATACCTCTTGGTTTGTATATCTATCCAGTGTTGCAGAGTGCGGATATTCTACTCTACAAGTTAGTAATGTTTACGTTATCATCTCTACAAGTTAGTAATGTTTACGTTATCATCTCTACAAGTTAGTAATGTTGACCTTACCATCTCTACAAGTTAGTAATGTTGACCTTACCATCTCTACAAGTTAGTAATGTTTACGTTATCATCTCTACAAGTTAGTAATGTTGACCTTACCATCTCTACAAGTTAGTAATATTTACCTTACCATCTCTACAAGTTAGTAATGTTGACCTTACCATCTCTACAAGTTAGTAATGTTGACCTTACCATCTCTACAAGTTAGTAATGTTGATCTTACC